CTAGGTGTCCTTCCAAGTAGTAGGAGTAGGAGACAAGGAAGGAGAAGAGGGAATAGCAGGAAGGAGGGGGCGCCGCCCCTCCCCCTAGTCCAATTCGGACTAGTCAATGGGGGGGGGGGCGCGGCCTGCCTCTCCCTCTCCCCTAAAGCCCAATAAGGCCCATATACTTCTTCCCCCGTATTCCCGTAACTCCCCGGTACTCCGAAAAATACCCGAATCACTCGGAACCTTTCCGAACTCCGAATATAGTCGTCCAATATATCGATCTTTACGTCTCGACCATTTCGAGACTCCTCGTCATCTCCCCGATCTCATCCGGGATTACGAACTCCTTCGGTACATCAAAACTTATAAACTCATAATAAAACTGTCATCGTAACGTTAAGCGTGCGGACCCTACGGGTTCGAGAACTATGTAGACATGACCTAGAACTGTTTCCGGTCAATAACCAATAGTGGAACCTGGATGTTCATATTGGCTCCTACATATTCTACGAAGATCTTTATCGGTCAAACCGCATAACAACATACGTTGTTCCCTTTGTCATCGGTATGTTACTTGCCCGAGATTCGATCGTCGGTATCCAATACCTAGTTCAATCTCGTTACCGGCAAGTCTCTTTACTCGTTCCGTAATACATCATCCCACAACTAACTCATTAGTTGCAATGCTTGCAAGGCTTAAGTGATGTGTATTACCGAGAGGGCCCAGAGATACCTCTCCGACAATCGGAGTGACAAAACCTAATCTCGAAATATGCCAACCCAACATGTACCTTCGGAGACACCTGTAGAGCACCTTTATAATCACCCAGTTACGTTGTGACGTTTGGTAGCACACAAAGTGTTCCTCTGGTAAACGGGAGTTGCATAGTCTCATAGTCACAGGAACATGTATAAGTCATGAAGAAAGCAGTAGCAACATACTAAACGATCGTGTGCTAAGCTAACGGAATGGGTCAAGTCAATCACATCATTCTCCTAATGATGTGATCCCGTTAATCAAATGACAACTCTTTTGTCCATGGCTAGGAAACTTAACCATCTTTGATTCACGAGCTATTCAAGTAGAGGCATACTAGTGACACTATGTTTGTCTATGTATTCACACATGTATCATGTTTCCGGTTAATACAATTCTAGCATGAATAATAAACATTTATCATGAAATAAGGAAATAAATAATAACTTTATTATTGCCTCTAGGGCATATTTCCTTCAGTCGGCAGCACTGTTCTCAGTCCCTTTCTTGTAAGCAATAGTGTATTGCAAGCCCAACAGCTTAGTAAGTGCCTTCTGCTGCCACTTAGTGTGTATCCTCTGTTCAGTTAGACTGGCCAAACTGTGCTGATCAGTTCTGATAATAAATTCGGAAACCTGAAGATACTGGCGCCACTGCTCAACTGCCAATAGAATAGCCAAATATTCTTTTTCATAAACTGATAATGTTTGATTCCTGGGCCCAAGTGCTTTACTGACATAAGCCAAAGGGTGACCATCCTGCATAAGCACAGCACCCACACCAACATCACAAGCATCTGTCTCCACAACAAAAGTTTTTGAAAAATCAGGAAGAGCCAAAACTGGAGCTGACACCAAAGATTGTTTTAGTAAAACAAAAGTTTGTTGCTCTACATTTGTCCAATGATAAGGAACACCTTTCTTCAAGAGATTGGACAATGGTTTGCTCAACATTCCATAATGAGAAATGAACTTCCTATAGTACCCAACTAGTCCCAAAAATCCCCTGACTTCCTTAGCAGAAACTGGTACTGGCCACTCTTGAATAGTAGAGATCTTAGCAGGGTCCGTAGCTACCCCTTCCCCACTAATAACATGCCCCAGATAGCTAAATTTTGTCTGAGCAAAGGCACATTTGGAGAGCTTCACATGCCATTTGTGTTGTTCCAACAAAGACAACACTTGAGCCAGGTGTTCCAAGTGTTGAGCATAAGTTTTACTGAATATGAGGATATCATCAAAGAAAACCACTGCACAAACCCTCAGAACAGGTGACAAAGTGTCACACATTGCAAAGTTGAATGTATTGGGTCCACCAGTCAGACCCATTGAGACCACCAGAAATTCATAATGACCAGTGTGTGTTTGAAAAGCAGTTTTGTACTCTTCTCCAGGGGCCAATCTTATCTGGTGGTACCCAGCCCTCAAATCCAGTTTAGAGAATCAACTGGATCCTGCCAACTCATCCAACAATTCATCAATAATTGGAATAGGAAATTTACTTTTTACTGTCAAAGTATTGAGATGTCTGTAATCAATAACAGGCGTCCATGTCTTGTCCTTCTTTTGCACCAAAATCATGGGAGAAGAGAATGGACTATTGCTGTGTCTAATGATACCAGAGGACAACATTTCTTGAACTTGTTTTTCTACTTCATCCTTAAGCACAGGAGCCAATCGATAAGGTCTGATTGAAAAGGGTTGAGCTCCAGGAAGTAATGGAATTGTATGGTCATATTTTCTCCTTGGAGGCAATCCTTTGGGGACCTCAAAGACTGAACTGAATTTTGACAACACCTGTTGAATCTCTACAGGTAACTCAACTGAAACTGTATCATTGCCCACAAGCAGTGCAGATAATTCAACCAGAGCAAAAATTTGAGGAGCTGCATCCTGTCCTAGCAGCGTCACCAGTTCACCTTGTAACTGAAACGAGAGCCAGTGCTCAGCCCAATCCACATGCATAGGGCTATGACTTGCTAGCCACTCCAGACCTAGTATTCCATCATAAGATCCCAACGAAAATACTTTCAAGTCACTGACAAACTCATGTCCTGCACAATACCATTGCCCTTTTTGCAGTTGTTGATTGCATGGCACAAGAGAGCCATTAGCCACCTTAACCATAGACACAGGCATAGGGACAATACCCTGCAATTTATTGGCCACAGTACAATCCACAAATGAGTGTGTACTGCCAGAGTCCACCAAGAAAATCATTGGGTGGCCCTGTAACTGAACTTTCAGTTTCATAGTTGTAATTGCAGGTGCAGAATTGTCCCCCAGAGTAGCAGCAGAAAGGAATATTGCATTGGCCTCACCAACAACTTCTTCTTCAGTGTCACTGGCATCCGATGGCATATTCTGAACATAATCAAGCATTTCTTGTACTACATGCAGTTGCACTTCTTGTTTGCAACGATGATCTCGAGCCCATCGGTCTCCACAGATGAAACAAAGCCCTTTGGATTTGCGATAAGCTCTGAGTGAAGCCCATCGATCATCTGGAGTTGTTGTTATTCGACTGTTGTCAGGTAACTTCTTCTCCTCAGTGATGCGAGCTACAGTGCGACGACTTGTTGATGGTACTGTCGAACGCTTAGTGCCGGCTGGCCCATTCCCTGCAAATAGAGATTGATCACCCAGTTCTTCAGATAAGAGCGCGAGTGCATAAGCAGAGTCTAAATCAACTGGTTGCTGGATCCCGACCAACAGACGTACCAACGGTACCAGTCCTTCCATGAAACGAGTGACATAGTGGACAGCACTTGGGTTAGACTCATAGGCAGTTAACTGATCATATAGCTCCGAGAAATGCTCAACGTAATCCTCCACTGTGCTCGTTTGCCTGATATGAAACATCTGACGTACCAGGTTCTGGTGCTTATTGCGTCCGAAACGAGACTGTAACAGCCCACAAAATTCAGACCAATTGACATGCGGTGCTCGACGCTGAACCGATTCTAACCAACGAGCTGCAGTTCCCTCAAATTGTGAAGATGCAAACGAAATCCACTGGTGCTGAGGAGTATTCCAAAATCTGAAATAGTCCTCACAACGAGACTGCCACGGTTTCGGATTCGAACCATCAAATCGCGGAAGCTCAATTCGAGGACCAAAATTCACCGCATCCGGAATGAAGGCTCGAAAATTCTCAGCAGCAGGAATCAGATGTCGCGACGGGGTTGGATCCGTGTGCATACCTCGAACTGGAGGAGGAACATAACGGGGACCCGAGCTCCTCTGCTCCAAATCAGCTCGAGCCCCGTCCGCCTCGTTCGAACCACCGCTCGCTGGTGCTGGCGGGGGTCCTTGACCAGGTTCCCTCGGTGAGATGGGCGTCGACGTCGCCGGGGTAGATCCTCGTTCGCCCCCGAGTTCGCCGCGCAACTCGTCGAGGTCGACGCCGATGGTGAGCTTGACATCGTCGAGTCGACCGGAGAGCTGATCCAACTTGCTGTCCAGCTTGGCGAAGGCGTTGACCACCTCCTCGCTGTGCTCCGTCGAGGCCTTGGCGAGGGCGGCGTCGAAGTCCGCGCACAGGAACTCGTAGATCGCGCGGGTCTCCGGGGAAATTTTTTCCATGGTTTTTGCTCGGCGACATACGGCGAGGCGGGTGTGGCGGGGAAAATTGGCCGGCTCCAGGATTGAACGGCTCTGATGCCAGATTGTGAGGTCTAGGGTTTGTATTTAGCCATAGCCATGGATTCGAGCTACAAGAGGGATTACAAGGGGAATTGCTCTCGCAGGAGCCACACACCACACACGCCACCTAGCCGTTATCCTCTCCGCCGCGTTCGTCCGCCTTGAGCGGGAGTATATGTAGCGAAGCGTTCTAGGCCCATTCTGGCCCAGCTAGCCGAGCCGGAAGGCGAGGCTGCCTCCTGGGCCTGCACGTCTCTCCAGCTGGCTTCTGGCCCACCACTGGTTCGCTGGCACAACGCCTCATTCAAAACATCATAATAGCTTTGCAAAACGTTTACTCTTCCTAGATGTAAATATAAAAGCCCAAACTCTATATGAAGAATTGACTTTACTACGTGATTGAAAGTTAATTGTCAATGAGCATTTGAAGCTAAAAGTGTTAACCATTAATTGTTCATTTCAAAAAGAAAACACCGACCGGTAACACATTTCATATTCTTTGCAAAGACCCCCAAAAGGAACTACAACGATGTATGCAAAAGTAGGATTCATTAATGAATTTTCCATAGAAGGTTCATATTGTACATTATACATGCTAAACTAGCTCATTTCCACTACAACTTAATCTTTCCTTTGCATGGTAGTGGAATAACATTTCCTGACTTCCTCCATTTCGCGTTCTGGCAAGTACTCTCGGTGTCACCCTTGCCACCCTCCAATTTAAGGTCGATGTTCTCTAAGGCAATGCCAGAACAAGGGAGATCCTTGCTACAACTCAGCTTGATGGCATCCTTGGAAATGGTTGTCCCTCGAATATTCTTGAACGCCACATCACGTACCTCTACCGCTGAATTCTGGCTCCTGCATGGCTTGGCGGAGTCGCAGTAATTTTGGTCAATGATAATTGGATTTTGCACATTATCCATGATCATGTTCTGGAACACGATATCCTTAGCATATCCACTCCCTCCCTGCCATGTCTTGATCCGGGCTCCGTTGGTCGTGCCATACAATCGTACGGTATCAATGTAAATATGGGATACCTCGGCTCTGGAGTTACCATCACCTAAGCTTCCAATGCTGATGCCATGTCCCGGGCCACAAATAACTTTTGTGACATGAAGATTGTGAGTTCCATTCTCGATGGATATGCAGTCATCGCCGGTCTTGACGAGACAATCTCTGACCTGCACATATTTGCTGTGGGTGATGTGGATGCCGTCGGTGTTGGGGCTGGTGCCAGGCGCCGTGATGGACAGGCGGGCCAAGTGCACGTTGCTGCAGTCCTGAACCGACACATGGATTTGCTGACTGTTTACAAGTTTCAGGTTCTCCACCTTTAGATTAGTGCAGAGGTGAAACGTCAGGGCCGTGGGAGCCCCCTTGCACGGCAGAGCCTTGTTGGTCTTGCACGAGTTCTTCCACCAGATCTCACCGTTGCCGTTGATGGTCCCGCCACCATTGACGGTGAGGCCGGTGATGCGCTGGAGGAAGATCCAGCGCCTCCTGTCGTTCTCGCTCCACGCTGACATGCTCGGAGGAGCGATGAGCGTGCCCTTCACCTTGAAGACAATGCTGGATCTGCACGGACCAGAGAGGGTGATGGAGTTGAGCAGGTAGGTCTTGCCCTTGGGGACGAGCAGCACGGCCGGCCGGGACGAGGAACACGCCGCGCTCCACGCCTTGGCCAGCGCCTGCGTGTCGTCGTGCTTCCCGTCACCACGGGCGCCGTAGTTGTCGAGGATGAACACATTCTTCTGGGTGGAGCTTCTGAGTGAGCTGCCGGTGTCTTGAACTGAGTTGGCCGTGGACACAGAGAGCAGGAGCAGCATCAGGAGTGGAGCACAGACGAGCCTCGTGGTGGTGGACGCCATTTTGGGAGAGATCTCAAAGGAGTCGAAGTATGAGTGTGCTGGATGGATAGATGAAGGCGTAGTGACGACTTTCTATGTGTTTGATGGGAGAAGAAGAGTTGTTTGAGTAACGGACGGGTGAAGACGAAGCGGTGCTGGCGATGCGTATTTATAGATGCGGTGTTGGCTTGTGATGGAGAGAGGCAAGGCTAGAGGCTCTGAAGTTGGGCATGCAGTTCGGTGAGTGGTTTGGTCGTGTGCGCAATGCAGGCGAGCTAGCTAGCTCCTGTACCGAACGTACATTGCATACATCACCATGCATACGTACGTGCAGGAGAAACAGGAGCGAGAGCAGGCATTGTTGCATGTGCATGCATGTTTCTCACGACAAAAATCCAACTCCATGGCCATGCAGACGTGTTTGTACGTCTCTATGCGACCATGCGCATGCAGACGTGCACGGGTCTTGGTTCTTCAATGGCACCGCAATCATCATTGGCCTTCTCTAGTTTTGATGATCGGCACTAACACTAACATGACTCCTTCGAAAACACGAAAAGGCAGCCGCTTAATAATAATGGAAGGGCTAGTAGCGCCGTCTCTGCTGGTGCAAAGCGGTTGCCGACTGACACGTCGCTTGCACGCACCGACGTACGTATGCAATGGAGCCATGATTAAGCGACGGACAAGCTTTTCTCGATCTGGACTAGGCCAGCGGCGCCTACCTGATAACTGATCCAAGCCGTTCGGTCCGTGCATGCATGTACCGTTACATGGACGACTGGTACCAGTCCTTCTACATTATTCCGTTAAATTAGCTATGAGCTGGCCTCATGATCAACCCTTGAAATTGTGTAATCGACTCGGAGAAATTCGGGAGTTCAACGTGCTGAGGTTGCAACATCTCAAACATATACATGCAACAGCAAAAATTGTGTATGCATAAATTTCAAATGGTCGTAGTAAATCAGTGCGGTAAGCATCATCACCGTGGGTTACCTGCAAACAAAAAAAAAATCATTACCGAGGGTCAAGTTTCTTCATTAAAAAAATCTTCACCAATCTTTCACTTGCTGCTATTTAGAATGCAACTTCCTTCAACATCATTATTTACAATCATATCTTAATGTTCCATACTATTGACTTTGTTTGAAAAAGTAATGATTTTGGTTTTAAAAAATATGAATTTTTTGTTAAGGCCATTACAAAGTTTCAGACAGTTTTACTAAAGTTGAATAATACATTTCTCTTTAATTGATGAATATCCAAGGACATCATACCATTCAAGGCAAACTATGAAGTTTGTCTCCATGAAACATTTTCTTCATCAATTTCATTTAATATTTAGACTACAGCTTCATTTAAAATTAGTACTCACATGTCATCATGCTATGTCTTAATAATAATATGTTTAAAATTTCAAACAATTTCATGTAATTTGAACTTTCCAATGTTTTTTTTGTAATAGTTGAATATTCAAGGATGCATCATACCGTTGTAGGCAAAGTATGAAGTTTGTACTCCACGAAATATTTTCCTCATTACTGGAAACTAAATATTACACTACAACTTCCTTTTACAGGAGTATGCTGATGAACAGGACCCCGTGGAGGGCTGATTGAACATTAGCCGGTGGAGGGCTGGATGAACAGTAGCCCGTGGAGGGGTGGTTGAACAAGACCCCGTGGAGAGGGCTGGTTGAACAGTAGCCGGTGAAGAAGTGTGCGGTGAAGGCTGGATGAACAGGAGCCCGTGGATGAACAGTCGTAGGTGGAGGCTGGAGGAGGTCGATGGTGGATGAATAGTAGCCCGTAGAGGCTGGAGGAGGTCGACGGTGGAGATGAACATATACCTTCATACTCCATGTTGTTATGCAATAATATGTTTTTTTTGAAATCAACGTTAAAGTGCAGTATGTGTGTTACCTTCAATTCTTTTTCTTATATGCTCCAAAACAAAATCTACATGAGACATGCTATATTATATTGTGGGAGGCAAAGCGAGGAATGTTTTTTTTAATATACTACTATTATTTTGGTATTAAATGGATTTTTATCTATCTACTAGATACAATTCATTATTGAACGACATATATCTCAAATAAGTCTCTAAATTAGAAAAAACATAGGAAGTAAATATGTAGGCTCCGTTCGGTTCATAGGATTTTTGCAGGAATCATGAAGGAATACTGTTCATGAAGGTTTATTTTCCTTTGTGGTGTTCGAAACGCAGGAATGACCTACAGTGATCCAAAGGAAACCTGTCCTTTCGATGCCGATTCCACAGGAATTGAAAATTCTGCCCGGAGCTCATGTTTTTCGCGGAAGACCAAGACGAGGTGCTCTGATCGTGGCAGTCAGCATGCAGAGCTAATTAAAATGAGCTGATGTGTGACGTGATGGGGTGAGAGATAGAGACAAAGCTGCCTTGTGGCCAATTTAAAAACCCTTAAGGCTGCTGTGATCCGAACAGTCTACTTTCTCTTATTCCTGTGTTCCTAGACCCTGTAGGTTCTATGGTAGCCTTCAGTTCTATTCCTTTGAAGTATTTTTAACCTTTGTTTTTTCTCCTTGCATAACGAACGCAGCCGTAAAGTTTAGCTCATGCCCAGAAATATATAATAAATTTAATGATTTTCCTGAAAATTTAAACCTTGCATATTATTGGTTTTCATTTTTTGTTAAATCGGTCTAAATATTATGATTATTTTTCATGGGACCCTGTTTTGACTTGATAAGACCGTGTTTAAATTTTTGGAGGATTTCAAAACACATGGACTATACATTGTGTTGTAATTGGGGGATCTCTCAGGAGACATCATATTCAGGGCAACTACATGTGCCATCACAAAGCAACCTGTAGTCGTAATTTACTCAAATCTTCTAAAAAATTATGGAAAGCTTATTAGAATTTATCTTGCAATCTTAAATTACACTTTTTTGGCTAACAACATACTGAATCGTACTGTTAGCATGCATGCAAAATAAATATATAGAAGGAAAGATTATGAAGATGTCTATATATTATTTATACTTTTGTGGGTTCACATGAAGTAATTTTTTTACAAGACTATTTTTATTTTAATTTTATGTTTCCCTAAATTGTGAAATAGAAAAAAGAGAATAAAACAAATGGCAGAGAGAGCTGGGCATTTTGGGTTGGCCACGGTTAGCTTGGCCCTATCGGTAAAAATAAAAGGGAAAGGGAAACTAGAAGGAAAGTATAGATGGGCTTTGACCCTTTGGGTAGTTGTACAAATCGCAAGAAAAATAAGGTAGAGGGAGAGAAACGGGCTTTGGCCCATTTTATTTTATTATATTCTTTGTTTCATTTCAAAATAAATATTTTTTTTGGAAATAGCATAAATATAAAGGCACATAATATTAATATTTTCGCTGGATCATATGAATTAGTTATGTTTTTTACAAGAAAAAGTTGGTCTTAATTTTATCTTTTTCTGGGAAGGAGAAATAGAAGAAACAGAAGGAATGAAAGAAGGAAACTAAATATGGGCTTGGGCCCATTTATTTGTGGGAGAAAAGGGAAAAATTAGAAGGGAAGGAAGAAGAAATGGGCTTTGGCCCATTTCGTTTTCCTTCTTTTCACCGTTTCAACTCAAAATAGCGATTCCCTACAAAAATAGAAATTCTAAGAACAACCAAAATAGATCTTTAAAAAAAATTAGGGTGAAATCCTTTTCAAACTTTTTTGAAAATATTTAGGTTTAAATTTTACTAGTTGAAAATTTCAACATTTTAAATATAACCCTATTTTTATGCAAAATCGAGTTTGACCTAAAAGCGTGTGATCTGAATTTATTAAATTCATGGTATTATAGAAAAGTTTAATCTCTTTGTTTATTTCCAGAAAATTTTGGACATTGAGTGAGTGTAGCATCTAAAGCATGAACATTTTTTTATTGAAGTAATTATGTAACATATATATATTTATGGCACTAATCTTCATTTCATCATAGAAATGTGTCACACAATTAGGGGCCAGGTTGGCCCGCTTTTGATCAATGAAGGAAATTTCATACTGGTCACGGATTTAGGCCTTTCTATGATGTTTCCAGAAAACATCCCCCAAATATGTCATATATCAGCAAATTTCTTAGAGCGAATGGTGTGGAATGCCTTATAAGTAATGATAGTCATCACTCATGAGTATTTTGCTGTAAGTCCAAAGGTACAGGGAATGTATCTGGCGCACCCGCACTTGTGGTGCTACCGGTGCACCGGAAGCAATAGAATGTTTAAAAAAATATGGCACGTTAACACAACATCAATGTATGATGTCACAAAGTTTCTTATAATATTTTTAAATATTTTTTGGATCAAAAAAATGACAAATTTGACATCAGTGTGATAATGAGCCGAATCTAAAGCCCAAGTTATGTTATATACTATTCAGTGTTCAATTTTTCATTTTTATTTTTCGAGCTATGTTTCGAATTTTGACTTGAAAGTTTGTGATAACCTACATCGGTGTTGTGTGAGTGTGCTAGTTTTTTTTTTCAGATTTTTTTGAACATTATAAAAGCACAATGTGTGTTCGGTGCACCGGTAGCACCACAAGGTCCGGTGCACCAAATATTTTCGCCAAAGGTATAAGGTCTATTGTCTTTTGTTAAGCATAGAATCAATCTAGAAGTCAGATGCAACGTTGGAGCGGTTAGATCCGCCACAATTGGTGCTTTTTACACAAGTGGTGATGGAGGTGCACTTCTTCTGTAGTATTGTAATGACATTACTGCAAATGAAGCTCCCGTTTGTAAACAAGAGCTGTGACCCAACTAATGTGTACCAGATGGTTTGTGATGATCTTCACCTCTATAGGGAGGCTTTTCGGGAGTAATCGTCAGTTAGGTTGGACAGGCTCTGGAGATGTACATAGTTCGTGTGTCCCTTTCCTGTCGCTGGTGTGCTTTTACCTCTGTAAGCTCAATTTTTTCAGCCCCTTGTACAGTTATTCCCCCTTCTTAATTGAAAAGCAGAACTCCTGCTTCTTACGGTAAAAAA